CAAAGACAAGGCAACATTTCAGAAGGTAAGAAATCAGTCTCCAAAATTCACAATTCTGAATAATCAGCTTTTCAGAAGCAGCTTGTTTTCCACAGTAAAGAACAGCTTTTTTAAAATTCAAGCCTTTCAGCAACATTAACATTCTTGGTGCAGGTCCCTGCCCTGTCATAGCTCTTATCTCAAGGACAGCACCTCGACAGCAAAATGCCACATCCGTCACATGGGAATATCAGCAACTGGCCAGTCATCTTAAGTACAAATAAAATGCACAACCCACAGTTCTGTGTCCTGTCAGCTGCTTTCTAAAGCTGCTAGAGACACCTCAAAACACGAGTAAGACTGTTGGTTTCATTATGGCACTTCCTGGGCATAGAGGATGAACCAATATGGTATTTGTGGAAAAGCACCAGGAAAGGCAGGAGAGACATAATGCAGAGAGACGCTGCAGCAGCACACACGTGCTGCGAGTCGTGCAGAGCCACTCGTGGAGATGGGCATGTGCATGTATTCACCCCTGTGCACATGCACAAAGCCTGCTGGAGGTGGAGTGGGGTGAGCAGGGCTGGGGGGTTATCCCTGCCTCCTCCTGCGTGCGATAATCCTAAAGGCTGTGGTGCATGTTGGTGGGTGTATGTGTATACATCTTTTTCCCTTTGTTTTGTTTATTACTTTTAACCCCCTGGGGCATATCTCTGAGCCAAAGAACTTTAGAGCTGATATAGCTTTTTAAAGTGGGGATTATGTAAATGCATATTATGGGGCTTTCATAAATAGGGATTATTTGTCGACTACATTTGAGCGCTTCCTTTGGAACCATTAAGGTCTGTTGTGTAAACAGGAATTTAGTGACTGCCTAATCTAAATTTCATTGATTCAATAAAAGATCACAACAGCATTTTTTGCATTCATTTTGGTCTCATGAGAACTTATTTCTGGACAATTTTCAAATAATTACAGGACTGTATATGACTACAGCTAATCATAGTGAGCATACCTCACACATTTGTATTAACTGTTCTCCGTGATTTATTCTCTAGTTCTCTTCCTCTCTAGTTTTATGGCTCAATTCACTATTGTCCCAACCACTAACCTGTTAACTGTCACTCACCAAATTAAGAATTTTGTACGTTTAGATGAGCAAAGCAAAAATAAGATTTTGCCAAAAGGTAAAGCCACCCAAAAAGTTGTAAAAAATTCTTATCTGTGCTCCGAGGTGTCCTAGATGAAAGACATTTAGGCAAAATGTTACAAATTCTGGGAAATGGTGCCTCTTCTCAGGGCAGTTTCACACTCACAGGCAGATTCTACTTGGAGAACTGACTCTTGGCCTCCTCTCGGCTGACAGGCAATGCTGGTGCCTTTCCTTGCTGCAGCCCCTGCTCCAATGTTCAATCCAGTTGTTCCAGCTGCTGTCACAGAGGGGCCCAGACAGGAGCAGCAGCTGCTCCCCCAGGGCAGGAGGCCCAGATGTGAGGCTGTTTCCCAGGGAGAAGATGTCCTGCCAGGACCCAGCTCCTCATCCCAGAGCATTCCCAAGCAGCCCCAAGTGCCTGGGGCTGGCCAGGGCAGCGAGCAGAGCAGGGGCAGCAGCAGCAGCAGCAGCAGCAGCAGCAGCAGCAGCAGCAGCAGCAGCAGCAGCTCCCTCGCTGTGCACAGCAGTCCCAGCTCTGCTCCCTCCGTGCTGAGCCTCCTCGTTATTTCAGTCCTCCCACCAGCCTCAGATCCAGCTGCATGAGGCAGGTTCTGATGCTGTCACAGTCACACAGAGAATGAATCATATCGAACATTGCCCATGGGGTTGTTTATTCCTTGAAGAGGGAATGGACTGCATGCCAATATCCCTGGCAAGGCTTAATGAAGGAACTAGCTCTTGCTAGGAAACCTGGATGCCCTCCTACAGGGATTTGCTGCATGTTATGGCTCTGAAAAGCTATGTGAAAATAAGAATAAATAGAATAAAAATTATTAAAAAAAAACAGAAAGACACTTTCAGCACAATGAAATCTTGGTAAGGTCTTTTAAGCTGTGCAACTCCTCAGTCCCAGACCTCAGTGGAAACAGGGATACCAGGAACACAAACATGCAGGTCTGGACCTTGAAGTTAGTGCTTATACAGGCATCTTAATCCTTCCTGTCCTCTTCCCTTAGGGTCAGCACCCTCTCCTTTGCTTTTTTCTCCTTCATGTTGTTTAATAGAAGAGAGAATTTTGCTACCTGCCTCTGACTTCTGGAGCTGGGAATGGCTGAGGGAGGAGTTAAATGGGAATTTTGCATCTTCCTCTGCTGTTTGCTGTTCCCAGTTTTTAAACTGTACTGCTATTAAGCAGAACAAGCCCAAAGCACAATCAATGCACAATGCCTTGGTTTACAAAGATCATTTGATCAAACATAACCCAGCACTGCTGTGATGGGCACCTCAGACATGATGTGTCCTCTCCTTGGGTAATTTCTGAAACACATAGAACAGATGAAAGTTTGAAATGCAATCCAGTCTTCAGCCTTTGGAAATGATTCATTCTATTAATGATTTACTGATTTATACATGGCTTATTTTGCATAAAGTTAGAACTGGGCACATTTATTCATTGTGATTCCCTTAAAAATGGTTATAAATATCAAAAGCAATTGGCTACCAAAAATTTTAATATTACAGCACTGCATCATGGAGAGTTGACATGAATATGAGTCTAGGTCAGAAAAAATATAGAGAAAACGCTTAACCAAGTATGATATTTTACAGCATGTCACTGAATCATTTGAAAGGCTTCTATTCATTACAAACGTATGCAGTGTGGGCAAAGGATTCCTCAGGAAAATAAGAAAGATAAATTATTTTCCTAATGAAATATGTCCCATGATCTATTGTAACCCATCTCTCCCACAAAGTCCAGCTTTTCTCTAGGGCTGTACACCTGAAAAGAGACCCTGGGGTCAGTGAAAGGAACTAATTACACATAATTCCACAGCAAAAAAATGCACGTGTTCTGTCCCAAACTTGTCCCCAAAGACAGTGGATAGCTGAGACTGCCAGCAGCAAGGTGTGTCACTCTCACAGTGCTCTTTCCACAGTTCAACCAAACAAGGCCCAGCAGCTCCCCAGAACCCCGACAGGAGTTCAGAGGAGGCAACGAGGCTGGTGAGGGGCTGGGAACACAAGCCCTGCGAGGAACGTTTGAGGGAGTTGGGGTTGTTCAGCCTGGAGAAGAGGAGGCTCAGAGGTGACCTCATTGCTCTCCACAGCTCCTGAAGGGAGGTTGCAGACAGGTGGGGTCGGTCTGTTCCACCGGGCAGCACTGACAGAACAAGAGGACACAGCCTCAGGTACGTCAGGGAAGGTTTAGGTTGGATATTAGGAAATTTTTTTTCACTGAAAGAATAATAAAATACTGGAATTGTCTTCCCAGGGAGGTGGTGGAATCCCCATCTCTGGATATGTTTAAAAAAAGACTGGACTTGGCACTTGGTGCTATAGTCTAGTTGTGGTGTTAGGGCACAGGTTGGACTTGATGATCTTAGAGGTCTCTTCCAACCTCATTATTCTGTGATTCTGGGATTCTGTAGGATGCTGAGCTCTTGCCATGGACCAGCACCAGCCCCGTGGTTGCAGGTTTGGCCCTGGGCTGCCGAAAGGCAGGAGCAGCTCCCGTGGGGCTGGCTGGGTGTTGGCACCTGCCCACACAAGCCTGGAGGAGGAGACAGACCTCTCCAGCCCTGTGTGATCCCAGCAGCTGCTCCAGGAGCTGGGTGAAGCAGGACGAGGGCCAGTGCAGGTGAAATCAGGGATCACAGGGTGGCTGTGGGCAGTACTTCACCCTGTGGCCACAGGGCCACCACTGCCAAGGTGCCAGGGAAGGCAGAGGTGGGCACTGAGCTGTGTCAGGGTGGGGTGTTGCAGCTTGGTCCCTCCAAACCCAGAAGCCAAAATGGGTTCTCCCATCTGCTGGTTCCAACATTCCCAGCGTGCAGGGCTGGAGGACCCCAGTCCAAACCAGTGCTTTGGTACCCCGAAATGACAAAGTGCCCCCAACACAGGGAGGGATGTGGCACCCCTCACAAAAAGCTTTCAGGAGGCTGCAGTTAATGTCCTTAGCAGCAGCAGCAAGCCACCCTGCCCAGCTGAGGAGAGTGCAGGGCATCTTGACATGTTACACTCGTACACATATTGATCTGACGGTTCATTGTTCACCCAAGCCCTTGGCAAAGGTCAGACTCTGCTCCCGTCCTACAGATGGAGCACAGAGACAAAGATTAATTTTTAGAAGTGGTGAATGCTCCTGGTGCCCACCCTGATTCACTTTGGGCCACAAGCCCCAGATGAAGTCTGGAGCTGGCTTAATTAAGACATCCCTTGCCCCTCTCCCAGCACTGCCAGACACGTCTGTTTCTTGTTGTCATTGTTTTTTCCCACAAATTCCTCCACCCTTTATCCCGTGCCAACCCTCAAACCGGCTCAGAGACTTTTCTCTGAGGCAGCATCCCAGAGCCACGTTTCCCATGACGCCCAGACAATCTCAGATCCTCGTTTCTCGGCCCTTGCCGCTCTATCCCGAGGAGCGCTCAGGAAGGAGCTCCAAGTTTACCAGAAAAGCTCAGTCAGGACTTTTAACGGCCCGGCTTGGCCCCGGTTAGGAGCTGAGCGGCGGGGCCGGCCCGCGGAGCGGCCGCTGCCCACCGGCCCCGCACCGGCGGAGGCTCCGCGCCGCCCCGCGCCGCTCGGCATGAATGAACCGCGCTCCTCCAATCGGCGGCCGCTCCGCCGCGGGCTGCCCCGCCCATCTCCCCCCGCCGGCCAATCCCGTGGGCAGCGCCCTCCCGCCGCCGGCCAATGGGGAGCGGACGGCGCGGGGCGGCGCCCCCCTCCCGCCGGCGGCGCCCTATGGCGGGGCGGCGCGCGCCTCCCGCGGCGGCGGGCGGGCCAATGGGGCGCGGGGGCGGGGCGGGCGCGCGGCGGCCCCGCGCCCCGGCGCGCGGCTCTAAAGCGCGGCGCGGGCGGCGCGGCGCACACGCGATGGCCGCCGCCGCGCAGTACCTGCCGCGCTCCGCCGCGCTCATGCACCCCGACGGCGACCGGCTGCACCAGGGCACCACGTACCGCGAGGTGCAGAAGATGATGCACCACGAGTACCTGCAGGGACTGGCTCCCGCCGCCGGGCACGCCGTCGGGTTGGCGCACCACCAGTGGCTGCCCAGCGCCGGCACGGACTGGGGCAGCGGTGGGGGCGGCGGGGGCGCGCACCTTCCGCCCGCCGAGCACGCCAAGGGCGGCCCGCCGGGACCCCGCGAAGAGCTGTCCGCCGCCGCCTTCCATCACCGGCCGCACCTGGTGCACCAGCCGGCGGCGGGCGGCGCGGCGGGCGGATGGGCGCAGGGCGGCGCGCACCACCTGCCGCCCATGTCCCCGCCGTCGGGGCAGCCGCTGCTCTACGCGCAGCCCTACGCGGGCCTCAACGGGATGCTGGGCCCGCCGGCGCCGGCGCTGCACCACGGGCTGCGCGACCCGCTGGGCGCCGAGGAGGCGGGCGGCCACGAGCTGGCGGCCTCGCCGCCGCCGCTGGGGCCGCCCGAGCCGTCGGACGAGGACGCGCCCAGCTCCGACGACCTGGAGCAGTTCGCCAAGCAGTTCAAGCAGCGGCGGATCAAGCTGGGCTTCACGCAGGCCGACGTGGGGCTGGCGCTGGGCACCCTGTACGGCAACGTCTTCTCGCAGACCACCATCTGCCGGTTCGAGGCGCTGCAGCTGAGCTTCAAGAACATGTGCAAGCTGAAGCCGCTGCTCAACAAGTGGCTGGAGGAGACGGACTCCAGCACGGGCAGCCCCACCAACCTGGACAAGATCGCGGCGCAGGGCCGGAAGCGCAAGAAGCGGACGTCCATCGAGGTGGGCGTCAAGGGCGCCCTGGAGAACCACTTCCTCAAGTGCCCCAAGCCCTCGGCGCACGAGATCACCTCCCTGGCGGACTCCCTGCAGCTGGAGAAAGAGGTGGTGCGGGTCTGGTTCTGCAACCGGCGGCAGAAGGAGAAGCGGATGACGCCGGCCGGGGTCCCGCATCCCCCCATGGAGGACGTTTACGCACAGGCGGACACTTCGCCGCTGCACCACGCGCTGCCCGGCGCCGTGCAGTGACTGCCCGGCCCCGCGGCCCCGGCGGCGGCGCGGCGGGCAGCGGGGGACGCGTTTTAATTTATTCTCAGACTGGCCCGGCCGCCCGCTCCGAGCCCCGCGCTCTATTTATTCGCCCGCCGGAGCCGCCGCGGCCGCCGCAGCAGTAGCCAAAGGTTTGCGATCTCTAATTTATTCCCTTCCTCGCGCGGCCGGGAGGCGGCGGCGCCCCCGGCCCGGCCCCTCCCGCCCGGCCCGGCCCGGCCCGGCCCGGCCCGGCCCGCCCGGGGGGACGCTTCGAAACCATTTCCCGGCCCGTCTCTATTTATTTCTAACCGTGCGCGGAGCTCGCACCCTCCCGTTGGTGGGTTCAGTCCGGTCCATTCCCTGGGGTTTCGGTTTTTGTTTGTATCTCTTATTGCAAAACCAATGTAGACTGCGAGGGTACGTTTCTATTTATGTTATAGTAAATATTTTATTACTTACATAAACCATTTACCCAGGAACCGGTCTCGTGTCGTCTTTGCAGGCTCGGCGACGGCCGGGAGCGGTGCGGCCGGGGCATCGCTGCCGTCGGGGCCGGTGGCGGCGGCGGCGCTGTCTTGGCCGAGTCCCGTTGTCCCGTTGCCGGTGGCCGCCGGGGAGCCCCGTTGCCGGTGCCGGCGGTGCCCCGCGGTTCGCAGCCGGTGCTCGGCGGGGTTTGCCCGCCTCTATCACGCGTGGGGAGAGCCGCTGCCCTGCGCGGGTGCGCTCGCTGCGCTGCTCCCCGCACCTTCCGCGGGGTTCTGGCCGCTCCCGGCGTGGCTCTCCGCGGTGCGAGCACAGAACAGCCCGCACAGAACTTTCCTCCCGCGTACCGCGGGGATAATCCACGCACGCTGGTGTTGCCGAGTAGATTCCTTCTCCTCAAACCACGCTCTCGCTTTTTCCGGTGTCACCAGCTTTTCGTGGATTCATGCCCGAATATTTTGTGGTTGTGCCAAGAAAATGCAGAAACTGTATTTTCAGCCTATCGGTTCTTGGAAGAATGATCCTACTTTAAACCTTCTACTTTAAACCTTCTCTTGCAGCGCCAAGAAAAGTCGCATGTGAGGATTGTTTGCCTTTGCAGGTTCTTGGATTCCTGCGGTGTTTTTTGTGTTGGGAGAACTTTTGCAATATGTTTCCATACAGAGCTCTTGCACTGATTAAACACTTGATCGAAATCTGGTAGTAAAGGACCAAATTCTTTCTTTTTAATTGGCCGAGAATTTACTGATGTTCTCAGACATCTGGCACTGGATGGTTTCCCCGCTTTATTCACTACAAATTATGTGCTGTGAAAACAGAAGCTTTAAAGGGGATTTTCTAGCAAAAGCACGGCATTGTGCATTGCAATTCGTGTATAATTCTTTTCAATATATATAAAAATTTTTAACATACCAAATGTAACTTACTCTTGAAAATTTATACTTGAAAATTCTTGTCTTCGTTGCAGTTTGATTTTGTTGCATTTCGTGCCTTTGGTGGGGGTGTATATTACTTGTCTAAGCAATGCCACATTTGCCATTGATAATGTTAAAATTTAGTGCATTTTCAGTGTTTCTTACAATGTAGCTATTTTACATCAGCTAATACAAGACTATCAAGTTCTCATTCAAAATTCTAGTAAACTGATTTTTGAGATTTTAAAATAAAGTCACTTTGAGCAGTTATTTCATCAAATACTCTGTAAAGAAGTGGTTCACTTTTGTGATACAAAGGAGCTAGTGAATCCTGTGGGTTAGGGTATTAATAACTTCCCTTGGTATGCAGAGCGTAATACAAAATCTCACTTAAAGGGTTTAGTGTGCAGTGTGTGTTCTGTCAGCTTTTGCTACAGGCTTAGCTTCCTTTTTTGTAATGAGATTGGTTTTTATAGAAGAGCAGAGAATATTAGGGCTGTTGTAGAGATCCGGAATTTTAAAAGTTTTGCTGTTTTTACTGAATATTTACTAATTTCTAAATAGCTCTGTAGATGTAGTAGCTTAGATGATACACTCCAGTAAAAAAGTAAAGGAGGAGGATGATTTAAGGGTTTGAGTCAATGTATCATGACAGCATTTAAATTAATTTCCAGCTCTGGGAATCTCTCCTTAGCTGTTACTTGGTGTGTTCCCCACACATTTACCATTGTTTTTAAGTGTTTTGTCATGCTGTAATTCCAGCCTTTGCTTAAGAATTTCTGTGTGACAGCCAGGCTTTAAGGAAAGAAGAAACAAATTCAAAACTGAACAAAAGAGGGGATTTTTTTTCTTTGCTTGTTTCTTAAAGAAAACAAACTCATTCGCGTTGAATGTTTAATTGTGCTGATTTTCTATAGTAGGAGACATTTCAGTAACCTCTTCATTGTGAGCTAACCTGGATGGCAAAGAGGATTTGTATTGATACTCGAAGGGCAGGGTCAGTTTTCACATTGTGTTCTCCTAAGGGATGAGATGTGCTGTGAGTGCTGGGGAGGATGAGCACCCTTGGCTAGCTCGGTGTGTCACATTCTATAAGGCACTGGCAGCCCCGCTGCATTGGCTCTCTCGTGCTGTTGAGCAGCAGAAATAAAATACTCTTTGTACATCTCCTCTCTGCAGCGCCGCAGTGCTCAGCTGTTCTAAAAATCAGATGCCCCAAAGGTTTGCCTATCTTAGAATAACTTGTTCGTTTTCCTGGTCAGGGATTAAATGGCAATTACTGGAGGAAGACTTATTCTTTTTTTTTTGGTGGTTGCTTCACACTAAGGTGAAAGCATGACCTCATATTACTACATCAGTAGTAAAGCAAGAAAAGGTGGGACTGTGGTGTTGGTACACTAAAGAGAAGCAGATGTACAAATACTTATTTAACAAAGTAAATAGTAAACATACGAAGTAGGAAGTGTAGATAAGGAGCAGAAGCGCTGCCAGTGCAGTTTAGAGCGGGGTTTAGGTCTGTGCTGATGGGAAATCCTTGCTCTAAGCCAGGAGCACTCTGCTGCTGGGCACTGCCTGGCCCCAGCAGGTGCCCTTCAGAGCATTCGGGCTCTGCTTGGTCCCGTGGTGGCACCGGGCTGTGCTTGTGCCACCCATCACAACGAGCTGGGCTTGTGGGGGTTCTGTGGGGTGATCTTGCCTTGCCCACAGTCCAGAGGGATTGGTGTCCCAGGGTTTGCATCTCGGACTGCTGAGGTGGTGACCGAGGGGTCTTTGGCCAGATGGGGAAGTTGGTACCAGGCGAAGGCAGCTCTGGTGTGGGCTCAGCCCTTCTCACGCTCACAGAAGGGTGTGAGCTGTGCTGTGCCACCCTGGCCTGGGCAGGGAGCCTGTCTGTGTGCTCCAGGGGCATGGGAGGGCAGCTGTGCCTCCCACGTGCTGTCCTCTTATAAAGTGGTTGTTGTAATTTTAGGACATTGCTGTTTTCTGTTAGGCAGACAATATTCAGTAGGGTATCTCTTTTTCCCTTTTTACATGTAGAAAGGTGGACAGCTACCAATCAGCTTTCATGCATGCTTAGGAGAAGGTTGTAGTATTCCAGAATCCAATTTCTTCCAGGTCTCTTGTCTTGACTGTTACTGCTGCCACTTGAAGAGCAGAGAATGCTTGCTGTATAACAACTGCAGAAGTGACTACAGCACAGCAGCTCGCCTGGCGAGGCACAGTCACTTGTAATTAGTAATGCCCTGCTCATCTTATGCTTTCCACTGAATCTGGTCTTTTCTGAGGGCTGCCCAGCCAGGGCTGTGCCTGATCCCAGCACGGTGCTGTGGTGCAACTGGCCCCTAATGAGCCAAGGCAGCAACTGAAACACTCTAATCTCTACATGAAAATTCAGAGCATCAACCTTAACACCATAGAGTCTTGTTCCTGATTTTGCCCACTCCTGCTTGCTCTCTCCCCTAGAAGGAGAGATTTCGGTACCATCAGGTTAAACAAATCTTGTAAATCTGTGCTAATGTTGTTTGCATATATTTTAATTTTATGCTAACTCTACCGTTGGTTGTTTGGAGCTGGCTCAGCCCCAGGACAGCTCAGAGGTGTCACTTCACAGGTACTGGAAGCAGATTTTGGGTCTTGTCCCCAGGGCAGAACTCCACAACTCTGGAATTACTTCTCCTTAGCTGCCTTTTATTTTTTCTTACAGTTGGGTTGTTTGAAATGAGCCCATCCTGGCTGGTGACTCGGAGCTGGTGCTTGCCCTTGTCCTGAGGTTGGGCACTCAGTGGCTGCATCTCCCACGGGGGCTCTGCCTGCTGCCAGTGCCTGCTGTCCTCTTTTCCTCTGGAGCAGATCAGCCCCAGCAGGGCCAGGAGCAAGCTGAGGTGGCGTGGTTTGGTTTTGGTTTAAAATGCTAAATATCTGTAGATGACAGTGCCTGCTCTCTCCAAGTTTAATATTGCTGCTCAGGGGGACCAAGGCCAATGCAGTTTCCTGAAATGGGCAGCTCCAAAACACAGGTTTTCTGCAGTACAACGTGGGCTCTGAGCTGCAGCATCGTGTCTGTGCCCATATAGGAAACACACCGAGAAAAAGCTGGTTAAAGTCTCTCGTGGGAGCCACCACTGCTCTTTGCCAAGCTGATTTATGGACATTCAGCCTTGCTCCCACTTGTGATTTGCTGCCAGTAGGTGTGCACAGCAGCAGAGATGTGCCAACTGCACTTCCTCGGGTGTTCTCCTCTGTCCTTGAAGGAAGCTCTGCCAGCAGAAGTTCCCCCAGTTCCAGTCTGAGCTAACACAACCCAGTGTCTGTGCTGTGAGAAGGGATTGAGAGATGGTTAAAGTATGTGATGCTGCACACACCATATGCTGTGCGTGTTAGATCAGACTTATGAATATTTCATATTCCTTGATATCGCATTATTTTTGGTGTTGGGCAAACTGAATGTTATTTCTTGTAAGCCTTGCAAAGGTTTTACATTCTTTCCCTGGCTCATACGCTGCTGAGAGCACTTGCTGCAGGGAAGAATGATTTTCATGCCAAACTTTAAAGATGTTTCTTTATTTTCCTTTTCCTCACCTTTCTTCTGGAGCATTCTGCCTGATCAAGGCGTTTGTGCAGCGCCAGCAGCATCCAGGACCTGTTTCCTTGTGGCCTTTGGCTTCTCTCAGCTCCACAGGGGCAAGCTGCTTTCCATCACTGCACCAGATTCTCTAGGGCCAAAACTCTCAGCAGGTACCACAGCCACAGAACAGGATTTCCTACAGCGTGTTTAGGGAAGGTGGATGGCTCAGGAGCTGCACCCCAAACATCTGTGTCCTTCAAAGGACACAGTGAAGAAGTGCACAGAAATCTTCTTGCAAATATCACATATATGCACCAGAGGTGCTGGATGCTCCATGGAACTGCCACCTCTGCAGTCAGGGATCAGTAGAAGGTATGACAGAGCAAATGGGCATCTTTACATTTTGCTGTGCTTTTTTAGGTTTTTTTGGTTTGTTGGAGTTTTTTGTTTATGTATTTGTTTTGGGGTTTTTGTTTGTGGGATTTTTTGGGGTTTTTTTTGGGTTTTTTTTGAGAAAATCTGCCCTGTGATTTTTATTACCTGGAGCTCACTGTGCCTCTCAGTCACACTAAAGGCTCACAGGATGGGCCAAGCACTGAGGCTCAGAGGGTGGCCTGAGCACTAAAAGCTGCCTGTCCCAGAGCACGGTGCTGCTTCTCCTCTGCCCAGGGCAGGGCTGGCTCTGTCCCCAGGAGAGCTCTCAGCTCCCCAGCCCTGGCTCTGGGAGCAGCCTTGCAGGCTGGCCCAGCCTTGCTGGTGCTGGGGACAGGCTCAGGTCAACGTCATTAAAAGGGAGAGAATTGAATCAATATCTGGAGTGTTTGATATTCTGCCTAGTGGAACACTTGTTATGTCTTTAATTACTATTTCTAAAAGCACCGTGGAATGGAAAGCAAAAGGCAGAAATAAATAGCAAGGGGTGATCAATTGGGCGTGAAACCCTTGTTATTGATCACCTTTAACCTCTGCTTAAACTAATGACAGAGCTACCATTTAACTGTCCCCAGGCACAAAGCACATCAATTGTACAAGTGCCACATAAATCACGGTGGGCTGCAGCAGGCTGTGGGTGCCCCTGGGGCCAGCCTGGCCCTGGGGAGCTGCAGGGGAGCACTCCTGCACTGGAGCACCTGCTGCAGGTGAGCTGCTGCAGTTCTGCACAGAAAGGCTCCCGACAGCAAAGCCACGTCACAGCCCTTGGAGCAGCACAGGGCTGGAGAAATGACAGTATTTCCCCTCCATGCCTTGTGGGAACTCAAAATGTCCCTCAGACATTTTTGGAGGTTCCGGGCCCAGATCAGAAGCATTTGAGACCCTGGCAGGCAGCTGGAAAGAGCTGTGATTTTGGGTTTGAGCCATGGAATGATTTACCAACCTTGCAGAGAAAACAAGAAGTCACAAAAGTTCAGATATTATAGAGAAGTAGTCACAAAGTAAAGGGAAGAATTTTTGAGTGCTGTACAGGGGGTTTTGGTTTTGTACATGGGGGTCAGAGGTTTAAGATGGAGGGATTTGGGCCTGCCCTGTCCTCCCTCTTTCTTCTTCCTCACCTCCATGTTCTTGGTGATGTTGGCACTCACAGGTTGGTTTAGAGTAGAAAAGCACCATTTAATATAGGTAATAGGCATTGGGGAAAAACTGTAACCATGTAACACGTATGTACCATATAAAAGATAGAAAAGCACCATTTAATATAGGTAATG